TTAATGCCTGTAATTTTTGTGTGTTAGATTAATTTTCTATGTACATGTTCAGTAAACTTTATTAAGACTGAAGAGTACTGTAATATGGGATGCAACGCCATATTGTCGAGGCTTCGGAAGAACTTACTGATAATCATAGAAACGTTGTAAAAGTCTGAGGTTATGTCAGACAAAGTCTTGAATTATTGACATAAATTATCTAAGTAACGCTCTACATGCACAACACATGACTGTGTGTGTGTGTGTGTGTGTGTGCAATACGAACGTAGGCTTTGTGAATTCCAGTTGGAACCCCTCCTAAAATCCGTAGCCTCCTTCTTTTGAAAGAAAATATGACACTTATTTCGACATAATTCAATATGCCGTTAGAAATTAAAGACAAAGAAGGTAAAGGTAAATTTGTCTCTGTGCATAATCATGACTCCACGAAGGTAAAGGTAACGGTATCCCAGTAACAGGCCGTGGAGGCCCATAGGGTTGTGAGATGTTGAGGTTCCCACATTTTCTAGACAATCGGCTCATAGATGGCGGTAAGGTCAGCTTTACGCGCCGGCCGCCCTTTATCCCTAGGAACATTCCTGGTATTAATTTCTGTTAGAAGCTAAGTCGACCCCAGGGCCATAGTGCGCCTGGAAGAATCAGCTTAATTGAAAAAGAAAATGCACCTCATCGGGATTCCAGCTTGTAGCATAGTGCCTCAACACCACTAAGGCATACAGGGAAATAGGGGCAAGTTGGTTAATAACAGAAGCGAAATAACAACCTGCGGGTAGCCGTCATGTTGTCGCGTACAATCGCCAACTTCATCAATGCAACAAACTAGAAATATGTGACGCCTCAAGAGGCAGAGTTTATGTCCGGGGTAATTTAATTTTTTTTACATCCGCATAGTGGGGAATGGAGTCCAGCTGGGTCCACTCGGCACGTCGGCCACTACTTGGCCTATTGTACCTGCCCCGGGTGATTATGATGATGGAGAATTTGGTGGAATGAAGATTGGCAGGGGAAATCGAAGTACTCGGAGAAAACATGCCACAGCGCCACTTTGTCCACCACAAATCCCACTTCACCAGACCCGGGATCGAACCCGGGCCGCCGCGGTGGGAAGCCAGCGACTAACCGCTTGAGCTATGGGGCGGCCTCCCGAATACGGTAGGAAGCCCTGCTATGCATGCCCTGGTACTGCTCACGGACGGGGTCAGCAGCTCCGACTCTTCGCACGTATGTGGCAGGAACAGTTCTGTACATTTTCCTGTTCTTATACAAGTGCAAATGAATTCAGAGTCAAAAGGAAAAAAACACACAATGTAGAAATCTTATGGTTTTGTTTCTACAACAGTATCACAAAGGAAGCTTCTTGTTTGATGTAACGTCTTCTAGTTACTGTTTATGAAATCCTCTGGCTAAATTCAGTTTTAAAACATGCTTCAAGGAAATATATTTTGTAAAATAATCACAATGCACACAGAAACAAGCACTTCCCTCTCTTGCCTTTACGATATATAGGCCAATAAATAATGGTGCCCACTTACAAGAAACTTTCTTTTTCTTTCGGCGCTACAGGACCCCAGTTTGGGCCTTGGCCTACCTCCATGAAACTCTCAGTTTCATTTCAGTTTACTAGACCTCAGACATTCAGTAGGACTCCTTGGACGGGTGATGAGCTCGTGGCAAGGTCTCTACCTGTACATAAACACAGGAAAACACGAACGCGCGCACGCACACACACAAACACTAAACATCCATGCCCTGAGTTGGATTCGAACCCACGATCCCGGTTTCCAAGCGAGAGAAGACAATGCATGCCTTAGACCGTTTGGCTACCGTGACCGGCTTTTGGGAAACTTTACTTTCAGAAATTTCATGAATGATACCTTCTGTTACCCCTTCTCCTATCGAAGGTAATCAATTTGAAAATACATAAAACTGGAAGCAATTTTGTTTCTTTCGTTCTGGGGGGCGGGGGGGGGGCGAAACCATGTGTCTCTTCCTAAATGCCCATTTGAGGCCCAAATCCAGGGGAGGCAGTCTCAACTCCTCGCAGAACTGGAGACAGTGACGCAAGTACAATGAAGGCAGGTTCTCATTCTCTCACGTCGAGATCACAGACACAGTTGAGGACGACACCCAAGCGATCGTTTTCTGTTTCTGCTGTCATTGCGTGGCGCACTGTGGTCAGTAGTGCAACCATGTCTCCATCAGCGCTCAATGTTGCAGGATCTGTCTCCGCCATGTCACCACTTTGTCACGTGATGTGGCAGGCTACTCTGGCATACGTTCTCTGTGTCGTAAACAGTTCGGCAGCAAGGGTAAGTCCAGCATCCGCTTGGGGCCGCCATGCTGTTTCGTCCGTGGCTCAAGTACATCCTCATGCCGTCGCCAATTTTATAACCTACAAAATATTTCAGAACCCTAGATCCACATCTTTGCGCCATATACCTCTAGAACCATTTTAATATTATCCTTCTGTCTACAATCAGGATGTCCCACCAAATTCCGCGTACATTTTCCACCTTCCCATGCATACGTGTCCTGTCCATCTTCCTTGGCCATCAGAATAATAACGGTACAATTTCAAACCTCATCTCTATGAGACTTCTCTAACTCATCATTTATTTCTAACCCCTTAGTTCCAAAAAACCTTAGACACCCTGTTCTCAAATAGGCCCATCCTCATTTTATCTTTTCCTTTCAGTATGGGAGACAAAGTTGCAAAACCACATTTATAGTTCGGCATATTTTAATATTCATATTTTTAGATAACAGAAGAGAAACAAGTGACAGAAAGTGTTCCTGAAATTTAATATGTTCTTAATTCCTTCCTAAACACATTTTCATTTACACCGTCGTTCCCAAAGATTTGAACTTGAACTTGAACTTTTTACAATTTTAAACAATTTACTGCTTTTTATATTGCACCAATCTTTACACTCATTAAGTCACCTATAATCCTTGTCTGATTCTTATTTTACTGAACGACAACATACGCATTTCTGAGGTTACTGCCACGTCAATGGAATATTACAGCGATTATGAATGTTACATTTTATGAAACAACATATCAGCATTTTACGGGCAGGATGACGCAACCCAGAAGGGTACGAAGTGGAGTAACTGGAACCCAGTATAGGCCGCGCCATAGCTCAAGCGGTTAGTCGCTGGCTTCCCACCGCGGCCGCCCGGGTTCGATCCCTGGTCTGGTCAAGTGGGATTTGTGGTGGACAAAGTGGCGCTGGGGAAGGTTTTCTCCGAGTACTTCGGTTTCCCCTGCCAATCTTGATTCCACCAATTGCTCCACAATCACCCTCACCTATCATCTGGGGCTGGTTCAATAGGCCAGAAGTGGCCGCATTACAAGGGACTTAGTACCACCCCACTAGCATTAAAAAAAAACTGGAACCCAGATTCAGCCCCGAAGTATCAAAGTTACAAGTCAGCCGCGATTATTACGTGATCCCGTTCGCCCCCCCCCTCCCCGTGTTCATACAGGAACACGCACCGCTCCGTGCTTATATTTAACGACACTCTACATCAAACTTGTTTTCGCAGCTTTACTGCACTTACCTGAAGTAGGCCGATCGTTTTCTGTCAAAACTCATTTATCACATTCTAAACTTATTTTCGTATGGTCGATGGACAAACAGCGGTGTAATTTAGCGTTGATTTTGTAACCAAAGACGGCGGTAGAACACAGTCACTCGGTATTTACTTTCACCCGCTCTAACTTGGAAAACAGGGAGAACCTAAGTGAAAAGTGAAAGGAGGGAAGTCCCTCTCTTCACCTAATTATCCTGTTCAGGTTCCGATCTGAGGACTTTTCTTTTCTCTCTATGGTTCTGTAGCCCGTTGGAACTTGGCCGCTTTTTCAGTTTCTTAATCCTATACACAATCAGTAGGACCCCTTGGACGGGGGATAAGCCCTGTCGCAAAGACCGCTACCTACACAGGACAACACAAGCACAGAATGCGGACAGACATCCATGTCTCGAGTGGGATTCGAACCCACGATTCCAGTGTTCGAGCGGGCGAAGACATTTCATGCCTTAGACCGCGCGGCCACTGTGATCGGCTCCGATCTGAGGAAATGAAACTGAAGTGAAGAATAAACAGGAGAGCTTACGTCACACATTTGGTAAATCACGAGTAGCACATACTTTTTTCCGACCCCAGCATTGAGAAATAAACTTTTCCTCCAGCAGTCTGAATATCCCAGACAACAAATATTCGGACTCAAACCTCAAGTCAGCTCTCGTCGCGTGACAACACTTTCTACATATATTAATGTATTTCTGACATATCATTAAACAATTAAAATTGCTATCTTATGGATTTTACCATCCCACTTCTACACTGAAGGTGGAATCAGATGGTAACTCTGAAACTTTTTAAACTCCAGCCTGAAATATGAGCATGGAAGGAAATTAAGGACTGACTAGCCCATGATATTATAATTACAATAGTAAATGATATTTTCACGAAGTGATAGGAGGTTGGAGAAAACAGCATAATGAAGAGATTCATAACTTGTACTCTTCTCCAAACATAACCAGAATGATCAAGTCAAGGAAGATGAGGTGCACAGGGCATGTAGCACGAATGGGGGAGAAAAGGAATGTATATAGATTATTGGTGGAAAAGCAAGAAGGAAAGAGACCACATGGAAGGCAAAGGCGTAGGTGGGTGAACAATATTAAAATGGATCTTAGAGGGATAGAATTGGATGGTATGGATTGGATTGATCTGGCTCAGGATAGAGAACAGTGGAGAGCTCTTTTGAACACGGTAATGAACCTGTGGGTTCCATAAAATGCTGGGCAATTCTTGAGTAGCTGCAAAATTGGTAGTTCCTCAAGAATGACTCAGTTCCATGAGTAAGTAAGTAAGTAAGTAATTGTTATTTTGAACCGAGAAGCAATATTTCATAAAACATACAACTTGAAATAACCATGGACATTTCAGTGCGTTTTCAGGAAGGAACACACTGTTTCCTTCATCCCCGATTAAGGTATCGATAGGTTTTCATATTTGACTTCAGTAGTAAACTGTATTCCAGTGTTTACGTAATATTTTCCAATCTTCCAGTTGGTCGCTGAGTCACTGCACTGTGCCTCCCCTCGTATTGCTTGTGGAGTTCTTGCTCCTAGCCTTCGTATTCTGGAAAGGCTCACACAAGGTACGCTATTTCTTATTTGGTACACATTTTCTTCCATTTCTCATCACAAGAGTGCAACATCTATTTACACGAATGGTGTTTACGAATACAGTTGAAATCGTCGGAATTTTTTAACATTAAACCGAAACTGACATTTTTCTTCTGTGATTTATGGCGAACAACTCTGAATACATTTCCTTGGAAGTCTTCTCAGACCCAAACGTAATTTAAATGGGCTGCATGTGGACATCATTCAATATTTCAATTTATATGTCGACCGTAGACCCTAATATTTGCTTAAAACCACGGATAATAAATTGTCTTTCGTGACGACAGGAAGATTTCTTCTGAAGTGTAAAAATCTCCGTAAACGTAAATACACTTCAAAGGCGAAACGATCATATAAGTATATTGAGCAGTTATGTTAGTCTGTAGCATTCAGTTTTACAACAAAATCTCCAAGTTTAGGAGTTTCTAGTATCGTTAGCTACATGTGTGTCACTCTGAAACACATACGATATTCTAAAGCAAATAAAGAAGTTTTTTAATGTGCTCTCCATATTTTCAGTGATCTACGAGTATAATAATTGACTTCATTTATGTAGAGAACTGAAATCTGTTCAGTATAGCGCCCATTTTCGTTGCCAAACTGTTGTTGTTGTTCCGGCCCTCTTCGAAATGTTTTCTGGATCTCCGCTTCGCTGTACTACAGTACAGAGCAGTGAATTGTATTTCAACAACTTTAAGTATGGCCTGTTTGTAGGTCAATTCTTTACTTATAATATCCAAGTTCTGCATAATTTTAACTCGTGAAACGTAACTGAAATTTATGCAAGAATGAAGTTTGGCGAGATGTAGGTTAAAATGAGGTAATGTTGTCCTTGTGCTTAACTAATTAAGCACCCCGCCATGAAGGTCTACAGGGGAACGGATGTGTAGATTCAGATTTTCTTGACCTTAACACTAGCTAGAGGTGAATGGTCAGCTTCACGCCCCGACCGCATTACCCCTGGGGAAACAGCCCCCCGTACTCATTGGATAGGAGGCTGAGTGAGCACCAAAACTGATCTGGACGACGTGGAGATAATTCTTGACTCTACCAGGATTCTCCGAACCCAAGGTCGTGCAGCCCGTAGCCAGTCGCTATACCGACTGAGATATCCAGGCCATATAGGTTAATAGTACTTTCAATACACTTCTTTTATACTAATGGGGTTTTGCGGTCAAACTGGATTGCACACTGATTACTGCGGCAACATGCAGTCAGGCGGTGGGTTATGTTTCTGGACTTTCGTGTTTTGGTGTAAGAATCTTTTACAACATATATGTATGTAACTCGGACGCACTCCGCCTCAGATGAAGGCGAATAAATCTCACCGAACGAAGCACACCACATTCACTAAAAACATCTTGATGTAGTGTTCAGTGGAGCCTAATATTCGAAAAGTCCCGGCTGTAGTGATAAATGTTTCTTGCCTTCTCTCAGTCTCTTGAGGCTGCTTTTCTACGTCAGAATGCCAGGAGCTTTCTAGTAACCCCATATTCACGATACACAACAAAAGCTGCATTTGAGCGGGTTTAACCTACAAATATAACACCGTCAACTCTGCACTCTCTCATTTACGCTTAGGCCCATTAGACCCATTAACGATGTTGGCAGAACCTAATTCAAACGTAATTTTCCTTCCACTTTCAAGAATTTGGATGAATGTAGCACCACCCCCATTTAGTGACAAGACCAAGAACGGTGTAACTATTCCTCCACTCCCCAGTACGTCTTTATAGCGTGGGGCTCAATTAATTAAGCACAGGGACAACTCTACAGGTGACAATTAGGAACATATCTTAGTACTAACTATACTAACTCCATGGAGCTATGCCTTTCTTGAGAAGCCGCCAGTAGCTCAGCCACTCAAGAATTTCCCAACATTTTATGGAACCGAAGGTCCATTACCGTGTTCACGAAAGTAATCCACTGGTCGCTTTCCTTAAGCAGATCAATCCAGTCCATACCAGCTCATCCTGTCTCTCTGAGATCTAACTTAATATTATTCTCCAGCCTCCGTCTATGCCTTCATGTGTTTAGGCTACATATCTTTAGCGCGTCCTATTCTGGATATGGGGCGGCGTGCTCGGATCCTTACAAGGAGGAACAGATAAATGCGTTAGACCGGGTGCAAAAGCAGCTAAATTTGCTCATCATAGGAACGATTTGAACTGCGGAACCTTGACACAGCGCAGACAGATAGCTCTCATCAAATCATACACGGGAGAACGGGCTTGGAAGACTAAGGGTGATAGAATACAAAGGCCATGCTATCTGAGCAGAGGAGATCATGACAAGAGAATCAGGAGCAGAAAGCAATGGACAGATATAGGAAAATACTCCTTTGTAAACAGGACCATACAGATCTGGAACCAACTGCCTTCAGACGCTTTGGGGACTCTCTCCTGCAAACCAAGTTATTTTAGGAAAAGGGTTAGGATATTGATAAATGAGACGAAGTGAAGGTGGGGTCGACATTAGCAAAAAATTGCAGTGAAGTGAAGTGAAGTGAAGTGAAGTGAGGTGAGGTGAGGTGAGGTGAGGTGAAATAAAGTGAGGTGAAGTGAGGTGAAGTGAAATGAAAAGTGTGAAGGATGGGAGGATTACGTGAGTGTAGTAAAGCGAAAGGAAGTGAAAATGAGAACATGGCATTGCGCATNAATAATAATAATAATAATAATAATAATAATAATAATAATAATGGTCTCTTTCCTTCTAGCTTTCCTTTCGAAATCGTATATGCCGTCATATTCTCTCCATGCGTACTACACGTTATGCCTATCTCATTCTCCTTGATTTGATCATTCTAATTATATTTGGCGAATGGCACATTTCTTAATTCCTAGAATTCTTAATACGTACACAGTCCAATATAGAAAGGGGCCTCGGACACTGTCCAAGTACTAGGAATTACTTTTTCACTTTGCTGTTACAACTATACAACATATGAATAAGTATCTGGCCACTGTACTGTGTACATACATGAAAAGAAGCATAAAATATATGTTTATTTTCTAGAATGCAGAAGTTAGCTCATCCTGAGACGCTTCGCAACATGGCAATCCAGGCACTAGGGAAATATGTGTCAGATTTCATGATGCGACTCATCATGCTCTCTACACACTCGAGACGTTGTGGCAACAACTTTCGTCACCATCACGAACAGTGTCGCCATCTGAGGATGAGTCTCTTGAAATGGGTACCATTCAACATCGCCAGAGAGATCACAACTGTGCTGATCAGATGCGTCAATCAAACTTACATTGAGCTGATAAATATAAGAGACTTCAAGATCGCCTGCGATAAAATAGCTCCACTACTAATCAAATCTGTATTACATCCATCAGTGAAGATACTTGACTGTATCCCCAAAACTTCACATCCAACAATACTTGATTTTTATAAAATTAAAAACTGTATTTTAATATATAAAGCACTTCCCTTGCTGCATGATCTCACAGAGCTGAGACTAGGAAACGCACGCAGAACTTATGATATGAACCTCGAAGTAGGCACATTCAGAAACACTTTGGAAAAATTTTCATCCCGTAGCTGTTGGGACAGAGATATACAAACCCTTGCTAACAGCTGCAGGATGCTCAGGTGTTTAGATATTAGTGGGTCTTTCCATATCTCTGATATGGTTGCAGACTATATATTACAGTTTAAACATTTGGAGGAACTGAATTTATGTGAAATCCATTCGTTATCTGAAGAAGGTCTACAGCACATTCTGAATGGCCTCGCCGATGTTGAATTATCCAGCAGTTTGAAGCCTAATGAAATTTCTCCGAGTTCTACTGAAGACCTGATGGTCAGTGCAACCTCTTCAGCTGACAAGTCACGTTCACCCACATTACGGTCACAGATGTTGAAGAGTTTCGGATGTAGCTACGCTACGGTACAACACATACATGTAATCGCTCAGTTTTCTAACCTAACTTCACTTTCCCTGTCTAACATATTAACCTGTATATTGACTCCACTTCAAAAGTTGAAACATTTAAAGAATTTTACTCTGATAGATTCTAGGTTCATTCTTGCACAAGACCTACTGATAGCGATAGGCAGTCAACTGAAGTGCTTGAATATCATTGATGTGTTTGGCACTGATCTTCACTTCATAAGCGAGAAATGTCCTTCACTTGTCTGCCTTCATCTTTGTTTTCATAAAGTTGAAGATCTGTGGTTACTACGTCGATATCAAGCTCCTGACCCCAATCGGCTGCATATTTTCGACTTTCCCGCTGTTGTCTTTCTTGAGCTCTTCGTATGTGAACCGTCTACTGCACAATATATTGTAACTCTTTTCCCAAATTTGAAGAAATTGTGTATGAGATACATTTTTGATGATACATTTCTTGTTTGGATACGTAGCCATGAAAATCTTCAACATCTGAAGGAAGTGTTCTGGGGAGACGATTCTGTGATACAATTTACTGAGAAATGTGCCTACATCACAGAATTTTATTCCGATGGAAGAACTTCAGTTTATAAAATGCAGAAATGAGACAAGAAGAGTGAGAACATGCCTAACATATTGACTTCAGTAAAAATTCCGGCATTTATTTCAAAGTCCCGATGATAAGTTAGCTGAAATCCGCAATGGAAAAGCAACTAACACATATAGCAGAAGAGTACAAAGAGAAATATCTCTTCTACATACTTAATAACAAAGATAGCAGGAGTAAGTGGCTTATTTCTATACATATATCACGACAGTGGAACGGAAAGAGGGAATAAAAGACATGTTCTAGATTTTGCTTTTAAGTCTGTTAAGTAAGCTATAATTTATGCATGAGAAAAATAGCTACATTTTACATATTTTATACGTATGCTTCTCGTCTAATAAAAGAACTGCGTGCTAGAGAAAAAAGGCAAAGAAATGGAACTTTACGTAGGACATCAGGTTTTCACAGCGGTGTCTATGAAGAATGCCGTCTTATGTAAACCGACGTTTCAGTGGAACGTCTGTCCACACAAGGTATACAAGGCGTCACTTCCCAGAAGACGGCGTTCTTCAAACAGAAACTTAAGTTTTCTGATAGACTTATTCCAGTTCTTTTCCTTCCCTGTCCTATTTTAAGAAAATATATTTTTCTTACTTAAAGAGTAAAGAATTGTAACGTCTGGTACCTACTGGTTGGTCCCTACAGTTTGGGACGACGGATCCGAATTCATGGCATGGCAGCGCACAAAATATTCATATAGTGGAAAAAAAAACGCATTTCACGCAATGTTAGCATAATTCACGAGATAATATAAATACGTCTGAAGTATATTTGATAGGCATGACGGTTTGAGAATTGGCTCTGCTCCCTCTCCAGAGGATTGCTTATATTCGTGTTGACAGATTCGGCAGTAACTTTTGAGACCGAACGCTGGGCGGCTAATCAATTTGTGACGAGTAGAATTGACTCGCGGAACGTCGTGAATGTGAGACTTACGTCAGGAGACAATGGGCAATGCATATTAAAATATTGGGTTAATGAATCAACCGATGTCATAAACCACCTAAAAATTACCTAAGAAAATCTAATCTTTTTCCAGAAATTTGGGGGAAATCTCAGAGCTTGAGTTCCAGTGTAGATATTACCTGACCACTTTTTGGAGCCTGGCCAATTATGCAACATCAGTGGTTTCAATTTAAGTAGAATTCTAAACAATACATATACATACATACACGGCGTGTCCAGGATCCGTTAGGACTTTTTTTTTTTTTTGCCCTGCAATGCCATCTGTTGGTGAGTTGCGTTAAGATTCTTGAAGTTTCAGCTGTGGCTGTCTATAATTTCAAAGCGCAAGCATCGCTGCATCATGTGTTCTGACCTTGAATGTAACAGTACTGTTCTGACGCTCGTCGGAAAATGGCGGTTGAACAGAGAGCCAACATCAAATTTTGTTTGAAGTTAGGCAAAACAGTCGCAGAAGCGTACGAAATGATGAAAAGTGTGTACGGTAGTGACTGATTGAGTTGCTCGAACATTTTTCGATGGTATGCTGTATTTCGTGACGGCAGGGAGGACACTGAAGACGCTCCACGTGCATCAAAGCCGAGAACAAGTCGCAATGAAGAAAATGTGAAGAAAGTGACCGAAATCCTTGCATCAGACAGATGTGTTTCTGCAAGACTCATCGAGGAGCGTTTTGGAATACCAAAAATTACTGTGCATAAATTTTGACCGAGGATTTGGGTGAACGTAAGGTCTGTGCGCGGTTTGTACCGCACGCGCTGTCAGGCGATGAAAAACATGGCAGAGTGGAACACTGCAAAGACATGTTACGGTCGGCCCAAAGGGATACTAAATTTACAAAATCGATTGTTACTGGTGACGAGACATGGTGTTTTCAATATGAACCTCTCACAATGAGGCAGAGTGCAGCGTGGTTGAGCCCAAAGAAGCCGAAACCAAAGAACGTGGGCATGCAAAAGAGTCGAGTAAAGACTCTGCTAATCGTTTTCTTCGATTCCAAAGGAATCATTCACAAGGAATTTCTGCCAGAAGGTCAAGCAGTGAATTATGATTATCATCTCGGAGTCCTTAATCGTTTGTGGGCCAGAATTCTTCGAATTCGACCTGAATATCGAGAGCATGGTTCCTGGTCGCTCCTCCATGACAAGGCCCCACCCCACAAATCGAAGATCGTGCGCCGTTTTTTGGCCAGAAAAGGGATCACAGTCCTTGATGATCCTCCGTATTCGCCAGATTTGGCTCCAGCAGATTTCTGGTTATTCCCAAAAGTTAAGTTGGCGATGAAAGGAGACCGTCACGACACCATCCAGAACATCCAAAGGGAATGTACCTCAGTTTTAAATGCAGTTCCATAAAGGAGTACAGTGACTGTTTTCGAAAACTTTTCAATCGATTCCAGCTATGTATTGATTCAGAAGGCGACTATTTTGAATAAAAAGAGTAAAATTTCGAAAATAATTAACGTCTTGTATTTTTAATGAATACAGTCCTAACAGAACCTGGACACACTTTGTATATTGTAACGTGCCGTCAGGAAGGCCGGACTATAAGGGGTCCAATTTTCGTCAACGGCTAGCAATTCCTAGGCAACGAAATATAAGCAGCCCGTTGCCTAGGAAATCGCTTAATAACACGAAAGTCTAACAGTGGGATTTCCACGGTTACAAAGAGGCTAGCAATGCCTAGGTAACGAATTGTTTGAGGCAGCTGCATTACAACAGCGCCGGTAGGTAAACATGTACTCCCGTAGCAACGAGAGAGTCGTTTGTGTCGTCTGCATGACAGGAGCGAAACTGAACGTTTCAACAAGATGGCCTCTAGCCCGTCCGAGCGTAGGACATAAGCGAAGAGCAGTCATACTCGTAAGAAGTCAGTCCGCCTTCCCCGTGTGAAGGCGGGGTGGAATATCTCCACCGTGACCCTGCGAGTCGTAGGAGGCGACGAAAAGGAAGTCTCAAATCTGAGACAGTAAAATATGGTTACGAGTCCCAAGGGACTCAGACCCGAAAAAGACTGCACTGGCAAGGGCCAGCAGCATATAAAAAAGGCAGACCCGTCCTCTCGTCAGAGAGGGCGCCCCACAAAGACAAGACCGTAAATGCCAAACAGTAATAAATATCTGATCATGAGTCCCAGATGGGGCTCGACACCAAGACTTACTGACTGACTGACCGTCAGTCGCAATGTGACTTGGACTTGGAAGTCAGTCCAGCTTCGACGAGAGCAGAAGTCAGTTCAGATCCGACAAGGGATAAAAGAAGAGCCTAGACACTTCCATCGAGATTAGCGGTGCAAGGGCAGAACCACTGAAGAGGAAACGTCTGAAGGCGTTGTAAGTGCGAGTGGTTGTAATTGCGGGTCTAACAAAATAGTAGTCCAATAAACATAACCGTCTAAACTGAGACCCATCGTTTCTTGTCGCGTTATCTAGGAAATGCGCGACATATATATATATGTGTGTGTGTGTGTGTGTGTATATGTTCGAGATTCAGTGGTTAGTCAGTCAAAGGAAATTGTAACGAATATTAAATTTTCACGTTTCCTTGAGCATGGAAAATGTAACAGTAAAAGCTGTTAAGCTTCAGGTCATTATTTAAATACTTTCTGTCTTTATGGTGCACAGCTCACGTCCCTTGTACTGGGCCCGAACCAGGCTACAGCATGGAATACAGCTCATGTATGACAGAACTTCGAGCAGATGAAATTTTACTCCAATTTATCTCCAGTCTTATATTGTAAAAAAGGCAAAGCTATCCTTGTAAGAGGCCATGGAGGCCCATAGGGTTGTGAGACGTCGAGGTTCCCACATTTTCTAGACAATCGGCTAGCAGATCGTGGTAAGGTTGTCAGCCTTAAGCGCCGGCCGCCATCTACCCCCCAAGAAGATTCCCGGTGCTAATTTCCGTTAGAGACTGAGTCGAACCCAGGGCCACAGTGCGGCTGGAAGGATTAGGTCAATTGAAAACAAATCCAATGACCTCATCTGGACTTGAACCCGCGACCTTCCGGCTTGTAGCATAGTGCCTCAACCAGCTATGCTTACCGCATGCCCCGTAAGGGGGAGTGCAGGTAAAATTGTACACATTACTTATCTCAGCAACAGATGGGGGTGAATGGTTAGCTAAGGCCCAGGCTAATTCATACACGGTTTAGACGTGGTGGCGCAGAGAAAGATCCCTGCCTTGATTCGAATCAAAACTCGATCTTCGATCGCAATAACCAAGTTAGAAGGGATCACACCTAATGATGAGGCATAGCTGCTGGAAGTCACGTGGTAAATGGTGGACAGACAGAAATAAAGGTCTAGTGGTCAGAGTTCCTGGCTACAGATCCTGAAGTCCCGGGTTCGATTCCATGCAACTACCAGACTTTCTGAGAAGTAGAGGGTCTGGAACGGTGTCCACTCAGCCTCGTCAGGACAACTGAGGAGCTATTTCAAGGAAATAGCGGCTCCGGTCTAGAAAACCGAAATTAACCGTCGTCGTAATTCGTTGCTTTGACCACGCGACGCCCTCTATCCGCTAAAGTTGGCGGCTGTCACTCGGTCGGTATAGTTCGCTTGCGGACTACAGGCCACAAAGTTTGTTTTTGTTGCCAACTTTAGGCAACTGGTATCGGGTCGGTCAACACGGGTTGACTCCGGGTTCGCGGGTTCTCATTTGCTGCATAGAAGTTCTTACACAGAGCCCGATTAATGGACTTCATGTCAAAGCACATAACTTATTTACGTTAATGTATTCGATTCAATGCAAATATTAAGAGAACTTTGTTTTATTAATTCGTAGATGGACTGATGCAGAGCTCATCAGACATCGCTCGGCTGTTATTGACTTAATTATCTTCTATATGCACGGATGGGTCCCCAGCACAGCACTACACAGCGTTATGGTTTGGAATGTTTCTTCTCTATGTTCAGAATCGATCGACAGACAGTTGCCTCCTCATATGAAGTCTGATCACTCGTCTCATAATGACGCTTCTGTGAAGACATGGCGTAAGTTTGTCGTGCCTCCTCCCTGTACTAACATATCGCCTTTACGTGCGGTGCAATCGGGAAGCCAAATGGAGATGGTAACATGTATTTTGGATTGTATTGATCTTTTGTAATGAGGCAGCTGTCTTCATTCGAGGCACAAGTCACAGATGGTTATGAAACAAGCACACAAATACTGATGAGTACCGACAGGGGGGACATCTTCTGGTCGTCCAAGCACCTAAACAGTGCTCGACAAAATATGGTGACGTATTTCGGCGTCGGCTGTACCGAGGCCCATAATTTTGCAGCGTGTAAATTCAGGATTTGGTTTATATATGTGAAAATAATTTCCTATATTCGTCTCGTAGTAAGAAATAAATGTCTTAAAGTTGATGGTTGTCACTGTGAAGAGTCCGGTCTCTTAAGTTGTGACGTCATGTAGTTCGGATTTAGAATTACAGGGCGTTACACGACGAATTCTAAATATTAAAAAGCAGTAATATCAGAATATACTCAATACGTTCAGTGCGGGCAATTGTCTGTTGTTATGCGCCTCCATATAGTAGAGCGGTTACGGGCTCGATTCTCCAATGTTTGATATGTATTCTGGTCTTCCTCAATTTTCTATGCGCACATTGATTCAGTCCTCTAAAACCACCAAATTTTCCGCGCTGACTGCATGTAACTGCAGTCTAATTAGAAGATAACGCCCAAGGATTAGAATGTATTTGATACTAGAGGCGACAACGTTACTGGAACATTCCATCTTCTGCAAATGAACATGTGATGAAACATTTACTTCAAACGTGGCTACTTCGTATCGCTAAAGCTGTAGATCAGTATTTCTCAATACAAATTTTTAGGCATTAATTTACCAATCTGGTATGAAATTTCAGAATGTCCAGAAAGCCACTCCGGGGATTTAGAATGCTGTCTTCTTAATCAATTGTTCTCAAACCTTTTCAGACCGCGGCCCTTAAAATTATATTTTTTTATAAGACTAGGGCCCGGTATAATTGATTCCAGGGCCCGGTACCGGGCCGCGGCCCGGCAGTTAAGAAACGCTGTGTGCTATAGCTGCTATGAGCAAAGATAATGGACTTCCGGGTTATAAATAGGCTGGGAATTTGACTAGTTCAGCGATTATTAGCTACTGAACAAGGACTTCTCTTTACTGAGCCAGTTCCATTGTAAGTCCTATCCTGCAGCACCGCCATGTGACAATACTACGCGCTCAACACCTGCGCCTGCGTCAGCTGATCAACAATGCAAGGTGCGTAGGCAATAAAACCACTTTCACGTACTATTTATCACCTGATTTCCAATAGCCATGATATATTATCACTACCGCAATGAATTTTAATTATGAGCCTCGACAGCTCAGTCACTAAAGTCCCTGGTTATGGGCTGAAAGAGGGATTTTCGATTCCCATCAGGGGCCTATGATTTCCTCTTCACCGAGGGCAAAGCAGCTGCAGAATCGAATGACCATTCACCTCCATCCGGTGTCGAGGTTAAAAATACGTGATACTTTACAGGTAATGTAATGTACATCTTTATGTCGTGATGCGTGTGAAAAGAACAAGACGCCATTAGAGATTTTAATTACATTTAACCGAAGTAAATTAAAGAAATTAGGCCTTCATTTTCTAGAGGATACAGCCTACTTGAATTATTGTAATGTTTCATAGAAATGTTGGCCGGGTAGAAAGGGTGTGCGGTGGTGCCATAATGACAGAAGCTAGTCGAAGGTTAAGTAACTACCTCGAGTTCAAGGAGCTTAATAACTTGAATTAAAAAACGTGAGTTTATTAACTTGAGAGTAATGACTTGAAGAGTTCGTTCTTCTTGGGTTTAATGTTGTACAATCCGGTTTCCTTGCTACTTTGTTGATTGGATTAGTGATCGACTCCGAAGACGTACGCGGTATGTAGCTCCGAAACTCCAGCTCTTTCCGAACTGCTTGGAATTATAAGCCACGCCCCATGTCACTGCAGTGAGAACCCGAAATCTATCTGAATAGCTTGAATATAGTACTAACAAGAAATTCACTGCTTGGGCGTAATTACTTATGTTCACTAACTTGTAAGCAATAATCTGTGTCTATCAACTTCTATAACCCGTGTTTCATAAATGTCGTATACTAATTTTTCTTCAATAATTTATGTTCATTGACATGTGTTTCATTCATCAATGGCTCTACAGCCTTTTGTTGGGGCTTGGCCTTTCATCAGTTTTGCAATCTTGGTTTACACAGACGCTAGGACTACTTAGATGAGTGATCAGCCAATCGTAAGGCCTCCACCTAAACACAGGACAATACAAACACAGAATAAACGCATATATACATACACATACCAAACATCCATGCCTTAAATGGGATTCGAACCCAAGATCTCAGAATTCGAGCAAGCGAAGACAGTGGGCTGCGGCACAGCTCAAGCGGTTAGTCGCTGGCTTCCCATCGCGGCAGTCCGGGTTGGATCCCGAGTCTGGTCAAGTGGGATTTGTGGTGGACAAAGTGGCGCTGAGGTGGATTTTCTCCGAGTACTTCGGTTTCCTTGCCAATCTTCATTCCACCAAATTCTTCATTATCATGATCACCCGGGGCAGGCTACACTAGCCCAATCAGTGGCCGCCGTGCCGAGTCGACCCAGTTGGACTCCACCCCACACTAAGCGAATTTAAGTAAAAAAAAAAAATCGAAGACAGTTCATGCCTTACACTGCGCGACCACTGTGACCGGTAACTTGTGTTTCACAAGTTCTGTTCAATAACTGGTATTTATTAACTAGCATTTGATAACTAGCGTTTAATGACTTGTGCTTCCGCCAACTAGATAATACTTTACATAGTACTTCCAGCCATGTTAGGGATGTGACGATTTAACATTCTTTACAATCTCCTACTGCCGACTGATAATTGAGATAGAAGAAAAGTTTTGTAGAGTTGTGCTTCATTTCGAATCGTTGAAGTTGTGTCCGCGGCCATGTTTCGAAGGGCGGAGGGGAGAAGGGGGAGGACTCCTGCGGCGTCAGACACACTGTCCCGACTGCGACAGACAGCCTGTCTCGTTCTATCGAATGTTCTTACCTTGAACAGTTCATACATGAACACCCCTGCAGAATATTTACACAATTTTAAGAAAATCTTCCCCGAGATACACTTCTGAAAATTAAATATTTCTTGACAGGGTGCTCGAACGCAACGATCTGCAAAGTTTGGAGGTTTTCTTATGAGAAGATGACGCAATACATTTTCCTCGGAAGTGCGCCTATGTAAACCAATTTCATTGTGACGGAATTGCGTGTGTTCGCATGTAGAGACCTGACGAGAGAAATACGGCAACAGCATTTTACATGTTGAAAGTGTTCGATAAAAATGCCGGATTTCATTTCTATCTCTCCACGGTAAGTTAGATGTAACCGTATTGATAACGCAACTCAAACACACGGGGGAAGACTGCAAAGAGAAACACATTTCCTCCTACGTGCTGAACACCACAAATTATTCTGAGAAATATACAGAAAGAACGCAAGTGACACACAAGAAAATACGACACACAAAAACTAAAAAAAAAGCCATAAAAGAGTGCAACGACTAGTCATGAGATTGAACTAAACACTGACACGCATGAAAGGAGCACGGTGAACTAGTGCAGTTCAGTGCAGTACAGTGCACTGCAGCAGTCTCCCCAAAAAGAAAAATCACCTGATGATGGCCCATGTGAGGCTGAAACATGTCGTAAAAAAACTAGAAAAATACACGTAAAACTAGAGACATTTCAGAAATTCTGATAATCACTTTTAATGTGTAAAATATACTTTTAGTGTCCTACTGACATTTTAATGATTTCAACATCATAAAGTATTAAAATACATTTTTAGTGAGTGACACATTCTTCATGTACTTTATATTGTTGCATTATTGACGTGTACTCTAATAATAAGGATAATTCCGAGAAGGTTGGCTGCTTCTAATCGACAGTTCTCGTTAGTAGAAGCAAACGATACATACAGATCCTGCTCAGGATTCGCTTTCAATTCAGTCATGTAAAATACACAAAATTCAATGCTTAACTGACGTAAGTAGCTGCAGTTTGTGTTTTAAACATGTGCATGTCTTACAATATTTGCACCGAAGAGAGATGAAGTGACAGGAGGACGGAGAAAACTGTACAGTAAGGAGCTTCATAACTTGTACCCTTCTCCAAGTATAACTAGAATTGCCAATTCAATGAGGAGGTGGGCAGGGCATGTAGCACAAATGGGGGAGAAGAGGAATGCATATTGGATATTGGTGGGAAGGCCACAAGGAAAGAGACGACTAGGAAGACGAAGGAGTAAGTGGGTTGACAATATTAAAATAGATCTTAGAGAGATAGGATGGGACGGTATGGATTCAGTTGATCTGGCTCAGGATAGGGACCAGTGGAGGGCTCTTGTGAACACGGCAATGAACCTTCGGGTTCCATAAAATGCTGAGAAATTCTTGAGTAGCTGCAGAATTGGCGGCTCCTCAAGAAGGGGTCAGCTCCATGAGTAAGTAAGCAAGCATGTCATTTAATAAAAAAAAAACTGCAGGCGGTAAAGACATGTGAAATTCCATGGGGATCCAAGTAGGCTACCTCCATACTGACATCCAACGTGAGAATGGAAATCTAGCTTGCTCCTACGTTATTCGCATAGTGGGGAGGTGAAGTCAAGCTGGGTCCAGTCGGCACGGCGGTCACTGATTCGCCTACTGTACCTGCCCCTGGTGATTATGATGATTTGGAGAATTTGGTGGAATAAAGATTAGCAGGGGAAACCGAAGTACTCGGAGAAAACCCGCCCCAGCGCCACTTCGTCCACCACAAATCCCACTTGACCAGACCCGGGCTCGAACACGGGCCACCACGGTGGGAAGCCAGCCTGAGCTATGGCGCCGCCCAAAGATTACCTCCATACAGGCCTCTAATGTGAGAATGGAAATCTAGCTTGCTCCTAGATTTTTTTGTTTGTTACTAGTGGGGTGGGACTAAGTACCTTGCACTGCGGCCACTTCTGTCCTATTGTACCAGCCCCAGATGATAGGCGAGGGTGTTTATGGAGCAATTGGTGGAATCAAGATTTGCAGGGGAAACCCAAGTACTAGGAGAAAACCTGCCCCAGCGCCACTTTGTGCACCACAAATACCACTTGACCAGACCCAGGCTCGAACCCGGCCGCCGCGGTGGGAAGCCGGCGACTAACCGCCTGAGCTATGGCACGGTCCTTAGTATGGAGGTTAGTCTGTATGTAAGCAAAGAGAAAACTAAGTTAAGTTTCAACTTTAAGCAGAATGCAGGACAGATTTGAAACACGAAGAAACTAAGAACATACTCGTATATATATAGGAAGTGCAACCATTCAGATCAGCATCTTCGTGTCATCCGTCTAATATTTAGAAATGTACTTAATCTCTCATGGAGCTCAGCCCTTCTTGAGGAGCCGCCAATTTTGCAGCTACTCAAGAATTTCCCAGAATTTTATGGAACCCAAAGGTTCATTAACGCGTTCTATATCCTATCAGACAGTCAAGTTGCAATTAAAGCACTTGGTACACACCAAGTCACTTCAAAATTGGTTTGTAACTGCCAGCAATCCCTCATACAACTGGCCAGACATAACAGAGTACAACTGATATGGGTGCCAGGCCATGAGGGTGATGTAGGGAATGAAAGCGCAGATCAGCTGGCAAGAACAGGATATGAACAGCCGTTCACAGGGCCTGAACCAGCTTGAGGCATCTCAATTGAAGTTGCCAAGAAAGCGATCAGGGACTGGACTAACAGAAATCACAAAAAACGCTGGGATTCCATAACTGGACTCAAACAGGCAAAAGGATTTATATCAGGACCCTCTGCCAGAAGAACGAAGGATCTCTTGAGATTAACAGAGATCAATTAAGATGGGTGGTAGGATTACTTACCGGACACTGTCACCTAAAAGGACACCTTTCCAAGGCGGGACTGACAGATAACCCAACCTATGAAAGGTGCCTACAAGAAAACGAATCAGCCACACACTTCCTGTGTGATTGTGAGGCCATAGCTTATTTAAGATTTCGTCACTTGGGTCAGATTTACGGAATAAAGTGACTTTTATGATGCCCCCATAAGTAGGGTCCTACACTTTATTAAAAGTGTAGGATTAATAAAGGACTAATCCAAGGGGAAGTACAATAGATCATTGAAGGTCGCAGTGCGAGGGCCGGATTTTATGGCCCATCCCTTACATACATTACATTACA